GTGTGGAGATACCTTTCTTTGCACAGGTTTGGGGAGAATATTGTTTGTTAAAATTGTATTTTTGTGCACATTGTGCTTGTGGAAGTATTTTATCCTGTGCTATGTTACCCTTCTCAGATCCCCAGCCAATGCATGACGTGTGTGGCCTTTCAAGCTGTCAGGGAGTACATTGTGGGCAAGACAGCGCCTGTTCCGGTCAAGATCTATGACTACTACGAACCAGGTGTGTCTCTGATGAATATTTTAAGTGCTGCTCTTTAAAGAGTTACAGAGCAGGAAAACTGTCTAACTCACCGGTGATTTATGAAGTGGCTTCTTTTTTTCGTGGAAATTGGATTTTCTTTTCAAGTTTATGACCTATAGTGTTGGTAAGTGTCATCATTGTTTTGTGTGTGTGTGTATGTGTGAATGTGCTGGTGTGGGTCTGTGCTTTTCATGCAGCCTTTGAAGCCACCCGGTTCTACAACGTTAGCGAGAGCAGCCCGCTAGCTCGGGAGCTGTGTGACGGGCCCACATGCAATGAGGTGGAAAGTTCAACCAATCAGTGGATAGGTGAGACACATGCTACACACTGAATGATTCATGGACACCCCACTTTCATCAGTGTCTTAAAAACACTTTTTTCCATCAGGTTTTGTGCAGGCAAACCAGTGCAACAATGTGTTTGGCTGCCCGGAGGAAGAGCAGTTTGAGCGCTGCACTTGCTACAGAGACTGCGGGTACGACGGAGAGCCGGTGTGTGGGTCGGACGGACAGCTCTATCAGAACCAGTGTCAGATGGAGGTGTTTGCCTGTCGAAACGGGACACGCATCAAGCAGGTCCCCCTGTCCCAGTGTCCTCAGAGTAAGAGCTCTCTTATCACACAACCTCACAACTAGGCAGTCTCCCTCAATCACTCACCTGGTTCCAGACCCCTGGATCTCCACCGATATCTAAGCTTCTTTAAATTATTCAAAATAGGTCTGCCAGTTGCAGAAACCGTCAATTAATTAGAGTTAAGAAAGCATGATGAATAATCAGGTGTCATCTTCTTACATGATTAGCCGACTACATACAATAGCTACATTCGTGGAAAGAGGGGCCAGCATGGATGAGATTGACACATTTACAACCAATTCAATACCCCTCCTCTCAATCCTCCCTTTCCAATGTGTAGAGAACATACGATGGCTTTCAAGCAAAACACGTAAAAGACCTTCTCTAGAGCCAGTGTTTGATTTGTCTTTTCTGGTCTACTGCAGAAACGTGGTGGTGCAGCATGGCAGGGAACATGCTTCCCATGTACTTACAAAGAGCTCATATAAAGCTAACTAAATCACAATGACTATCAGAGATGATTAAACACTAATAAAAACAAAGTTATGAATATGACATACATTTTTGAATCAATGGGTATGGCTAAAATTACACACTGGACCTTTAAGTTGTTATTTGTGTGTGTGTGTGTGTGTGTGTGTGTGTGTGTGTGTGTGTGTGTGTGTGTGTGTGTGTGTGTGTGTGATCGTCCGCTTGTCCATTGTGCACAGTGCACACATGTGTGTCTTTTGTGTGTGCCGTGTTCTGAGCGGTAGAAACAGCTGTTCAGGTGTTGAGCTGATTACTGGATGAGTTTTCTGAGGAGAGCTACCCGCCCCCCCCACCCTCTTTTCGCTCTCTGCTGTATTACAGGGCTCCCTCCAAATGACAGAGTGCTTTTGTCCAGCCCTTTGAAATCCTTGTCACATTCCTTTCCGACGCACAGCCCAACAACAAAGCAGCCTTCATGTTGTGGAGCAGATTGGAAAAAAAGGAATAGACAAAACTTTGGTGGGAAAAGTCCTCGGTTTGTGCCAAGTAGTTCATGCTGCAGAACATCAAAAGAATCATATGTTTGTTTAGAGCGCCCCGACCTTGTTTGTTTGTGTATGGTTGCATGGGGGAGATTCATGCCACCGTTTCCCTGTTTTGAAAAGGAGAAAGATACAATTTGTTTCCACACACGGCCCCTCTGACCACAGTTTAGCCCCTGCTATTTTTGGAAACATTTTAATCTTGTTGGGACTGAGTGTACATGATTGTTTTGCCAGTAAAGTGTTGCTCAGTGGGGGGGATAATGCTTTTGGGCAGTATTTACATTATGCAACACTGAAACTCTGTTGAATTATTTACGAGTGTATTTAGTGGCTGCGGCAGCCACATAAATGTGAATCATCTAACGTGTGTGTGTGTGTGTTTGTATTTCCAGTGGAGGCCACGGTGGAGGACAGGCAGCCAATAGTAACCCAGGAAACTGAGCTGCCTTCAGTGCCTGTACACACAGGTAACTTCATCAAACACACCTTTCCCCTACTCATACACAGCTTTGCATTACCGTCTATCTCCCCTCTATCTCTATGCCCACTATGGGGGATAATACACATGTTCTAAACTGGGCATTCGTAGCAGCCTTGTTAAACCAAAACCAGGAAGATATGTACCCCCGTGGTGCAGTCAATTTGGATCCGTTCTCCTGTGTGAACTAAACACCGGTCCCTACTCCGCCCTCAAAAGAGCCGTTTGGACCCCTTTAAGTGAACTCTGGTCCTCCTTATTTCTTGTGTGAACACTTCCTGAATCAGTCACAGTAAGGGTATCATTTATGTGTATCTTAATTGGCTAAACATTTAATGAATTTTCTGTTTATCAGACCACAAATAAGACACTAATTAGCTAGCGCAGTCTAAGGTCCTTCAATCCTCAAGTGTAGAATTAAAGCATGGTTGAGAGAGAAAGTTAGCTAGCTGACTGCGAGCAATCTTTCTCAGCTTAGGAAAACACAGTTAGTCTTACGAGGATCCAACTGTATGACCAATAATCAAAAGACATTTCCACCAACATTACATTTTCTATCTACCGAACCAGTTGGGAAATTGAACCAATATTTAATCTTTGCTTGTTTGATTCAGGAACCGGACCTTTAGGTGTGAATCCGCCCTAAGAGTCAGAAGCATGTCAGCATATCTGCTCTCTTTTTCTTCTCCAAATCTTATCTTATTCTGCAACCATCAAAAGTCAATCTGGGAATCTGTGTCTGGTAAATGTAAATGAAGAAAGTTGAGACTTCAGACGTGTGTGTGTGTGTGTGTGTGTGTGTGTGTGTGTGTGTGTGTGTGTGTGTGTGTGTGTGTGTGTGAG